GGAGTGAGCACAGCTCATGATCATTTAAAGGCATATGCACTGAAACGGCGTGCTGAAAACAGAGCTGTTTTTGACCAGGTAAAATAACTGTTTTCTTACAATACTAATGAGAATTTTTAATTAAAGTATATTACAAACTTTTAATTTAGACCCTAAAGAATCATATTAGCTTGTACAAAAATGGCATTATATGACCCCTTTAACTACTTATCATCTTCCCAGACTTTTCGGTGGCTGCCTGCTCACAAGCATATAATGACCTGGACTCGTCCATAAAAATTCAACCCACTAACCATAGTGGTCTTCAGGCACAGATTGGGACAATTACTCAGACCTCGATCATTTCTCTACCTTTCTTTCGTCTGGTCCTGTGGCTGCACTGGCCTCGTTAACTACGTGTTGACTGCACCACACTAATTTTCTCCTGCCTGCCGGAGCCCAGTCAACATTTTACTTTCCATTTCTACCCTATTAATCATTTCCAGACTCATTGTATAAAATTTATTTCATTATTTCATATAGAGTCAGTTGGGATTGGAGGTGAGCCAGATTGAGAACAATAATGGTATTATGATTTCAATTGGCATTAATCAGTATGAGGGATAGGGTTTTAGATTGCATTAGCTATTGATCAAACTTGAGGCATCAAATGCGGTCGGTCAATGGAAGGGCAGCAGGTTATCAAATTGAGGCATCTTAAAATGACATGTCACTAAATTGTTAGCTAACAGATAAGTTGTTTACACAGTGGAAGCAAGTGTGTAGAGATGAGGGCAGAGAGCTTGAAACCTGTCACATCTGAAGGGCTAGAATGCCTTGGCAGGAAAGATAATGCACAGTGACACACATGGCACTTGACTGATGGTATTGATAAGTCATGAGACCCACCAGAGTGCAGGCATCTTGTGTTTAGTTTACCCTTTAGGTGACAGTCATCTGTGAAGCAAAACTTTAGAACGGCTTATATATATATTATATATATTGTTCTAGAGCAAATGCAAAAATATGGAGACATACAGTATATCAATACAAATTTGGAAAGATATTGAGATATCACATTTTTGTCAAAGGCTCTACCACACCAACTATCACACCCTCTAATCCAGATCATCTGCTCCCAAACATCGAAATACTAACACAGTAACCATCAAGTATCGTTATACCCTTCCTCTGGTTCCTATAACAATTTTAGGTATCGCCCAGCCCTAATGCATACAGTTTAAAATTTGAATATTCGGAGTGTAGCATGTCACTGTGTAGAAGTCAATAATGATGGAATTTGTATATCTTTCAAATTCAAGCTAATTTGACACTGCTTCTTAAAAATAGGGATGCGGCAAAATAAAAATTCTGGGCGGAAACCGAAAATTCTGAATGCACTTGGCAGAAAGCCGAAACTGAAAATGACCTTTTAAAAATAATTATTTATTTCTGGTTTTAAAAATATTTTTTTAGAATTGTATTATTATTAGACTTTTAAATTAAATGCAATCATTTTACTAAATCTGAATTCAAAAAAAAAAACTACAAGCCAATACAATAACCACTCTTTTATTATAAGTAACACACAAAAATTGGACAGCCCTATATTAAAATAATATTAAATATCAATATATCAATATATTGTCCTTCATTCAGTTCTATGCAACAGAATCAGATTTAACAGATTTATTTTTTGACTAATTATCAAAATAAAGTATCGTCCTACAAAGCTATTATTATCAGAGCATGTGAGCAGATAGCAGGGAGTGGATCAGTGAATGAGAGGGTAGCGTCATTTTACCAGCGTTGCCCAGCACTATATGAGCGTGGCGCACACACGGAGCGGGAAAGAGGAGCTGCACGCAAAGTTACAAAAAATGCTACGCGAGATTAAAACCTGATTGCTGAACACGGAGGGACGGCATATTTTCGGCTTATATTTTCGGCTTATATTTTCGTCTTTTTTTCTCTTTCGGCCAAAAAACGAAAATACCATTTTCGACGGCTCAAATTTCGGTGCATCCCTACTTAAAAATACAATAAGCATGGCATGCAAAACAGAAAAACAGCAAAATGTTACATACCACTTAAATACCCATCTAGTGCATGTGTTTATAGGCCAACAATTAAAAAAATGGAACCAAAGAAATGCAAAAATGTGTCCTGTACGAATGGCTCTTCGTACTGCATTATAACCAACAAGCCTGGAGTGTAGATTTTTTTCTTTTATTATAATGGTATTCATTAAATGCATGATTATATTCTCAATTGCTATGCATACAAAGAAGCTTAATTATAATTCTAAAAAATCCAGATAATGTTGGTGGACCACTGATAACCTTGTGACGTATCTGCATTTGACCCAGAGGATTGGTGGGCTGTCTGAAAACTAGTCGCCCTTGAAGAAAACCTGTATAATTAGGCTGGTTTAGGATTGTGTTCAACAACTAATGGAACACAACAGAATAGAGACATGTAAGACTCTCGCGCACCGCTAAAGCCCTATTCAAGAAAATTGCATCTCTAAAATGTATCCACTGCTGCTAAAATATTGCAAAAAGAAATATTGATTTTGACCGAGTTCACTTTACTAAATTGTATGAAGCATGTGTGGACAACCCATCTCCAAACATGGATCATCAAGAATGCATTTCACTAGGTGTATTTTGATTAATTAAAAGCATAAAAAAACTATGCATTGCTGCTATCACATCTGATCATTGTTTGACAGAGCCGTTCTTTGGCAGTGTGCCATGCATCTATAAATAAGTTGAGATGTGCAGGTGTGACTGAAACATTTACTAATATCCTCAGTACTGGAGTGAATGAGTATATTTACTCTATTTAGAGGGTCTACACTGGTCTCCAGACTGCGACCGAATGGTCGCATTTTGCGAAAAACATTTCTACTGGTACGACAAAATTTTGTTAGAGGTTGTACTGGTGCAACCACCAAGTTGCCCAACGGATAAGAGCTGCCATTTCTGTAACATATGAGAAACATCAAACTGAAAACGAAAGCGGAACGGAACCAAGCTACTCGTTTTAGCTGGGTTGCGCCGACCGTTTATCAGCTCGGAGCAATAATAGACAATGCAGTGCATGCTCATACATGGGCCTATCTAGGGTCAGACTATCTGAGTTTGCTTATAGCCCCCCAGCTCAGCCGCCATGTGTTGTAGTTCACCCCGGTGAACGAGAGGGTCGCTTCCCTGCACCTTCGGGTCGGGGACAGGTCTCTCATTGTCTTGTGTGCCTACAGGCCGAACGACAGTGCAGAGTACCCGTCCCTCTTGGAGTCTCTGGTCTCTTTTTGTGGTCGTTTCATCTGACCTCCTGCCGTATGTCTTGGACACTCGGGTGAAGAAAGGGGCGGAGCTGTCAACTGATATGTTGGATCCGATGGCGGGGGAGGAAGCTGGACAGACTCGGCAGACCCAAAGGGCTCAGAGGTGGACTCGTCCATCACCCAAGCTGAAGTCACCGAGGTAGTCAAGAAGCTTCTCGGTGGCAAGGCACCGGGGGTGGATGAGATCCGCCCTGAGTTCAGGGCTCCAGACTAACTTTTGAAACTTGAAACTAACTTGAAATAATTTATATTAAGGAGTGAACATAGCCAATAAACACCCTACTGTTTACAATGGTATTTTTTTTAAAATAAGTGTTTAAATAAGAGTTATCCAACATCTTAAAAAATTTTGTTTTAGGACAATCTTTGAAGGATGAACAAAAAATGTGTTGGTCATCACATTAAAAATAAATGTAAAAAAGCATTTATATATGATATTATAGTTTTGAAGTGCTAGAAAAGATGTGTATGCTGCGTTTGACTATTTCTGTCACATTATCATATTTATGGTTAGAGTTACTTACTACATTAGCCTAAATCCATGGTGAATGTTGCTGATTTGTGGACTGAAAGCCTTCTATAAGTTTTTCCCCTGGTTTCCACGTCAGCACTGTTTGATCTGATATCTATGGTTTATAACAGAACTCTGCGCCGAATCGGAATGTTTCTCACTGGATCTCGTAGCGATGATGTTATTAATTCTGAGGCGAATTCAATGGATTTCTTCACTGGATCTCCTAGTAACAGTGTCGCGTGAGCATGATCCCCCCGCGACTGGCAAGTTCGGGTCTTTATTTTACTGTCAATGGTTCGGGGCGCTGCTCCATAGATATACATAAGAAAGGCTATGCGCTGCTCTGTCTATTATTGGTCCAGAATAATTAACGGTCCGTGAAGCAAAAATGAGTAGCGTATTTTCGTTCCACTTTCATTTTGTTTGCATTCGCTGCTTGGTAACGAGTCGATAGATCGCTCATTGCTCAGACGCACATAGCAGCTTGTGATATTTGTCTTCGTCTCCTTCCCACAGACGTTTACGCGCGCTCTCTATTCTTGTCACACTCACTTATTCCGGATTCATTGACGCGCCCCTTCCACGCTTAACCATGCGTTTAACGTGAGGCAAATTTACTGGTCGCACACTCTCAAATTTTAGTCGCAAAATGCGACCATTTGGTCGCAGTCTGGAGCCCTGCCTCAAATCTCTGGATGTTGTGGGGCTGTGTAAAGAGGGAGACCTAATCTGGTGGCAGTTTGGCGCTGGCTCTGACACACACACATTATAATTTGCTGCTCCTCTGTTACCGCTATGGTCCGGGTGCACACAAGACCCATAGCATTTGTTCATTCAAACTCAACGTACCCATCGCCCTGCTACAATAAACTCACATCACATACACACACATACATAAACATTCAAATCGGTTTACCAGTTCGTTTATGTGTTGATTCTGGGTGCGAAAGAGACAGAGATTAAACCTGATTGTTGGTATCTAGGGCTATTTGTGGCGCTCTGTCATGTCTCTGCACTAATGGCGCCACCCAGAACGGAGGATACTATGTGTTGTGTGATGTGGGAAATGTTGTGTTTATAGTTAATTTGTCTTTGTTAAGAATATTGTGATGTTGGTATGCATTTTATGGGTTTATTTATGTTTGTGTAACGGTGGTCAGGCAGTGAAGGGACTGAAACCAGAACTGGCTTTTCTCACATTTATTCCTTTGGAGAATCTTTGGAAAAATCAGAACAAAACATGCCTTCAGGCACTGGTGTACATATAACAGCATCCGATGTAAAGCATCCCGCTTCTGATCTCTTTGGTAAATTGTTACAAAAGAAACATTCATACAGAAGGATACACCTTTAGCATACAAGAAGGGTATAAAATAAACATAAGAAAAATAAACACAGGAAAATATTTCCTCATTCTGAAACTAATTCACATTTAACATATGAAGCAACATACCTTTGGAAAAATCAGAACAAAACATGCCTTCAGGCACTGGTGTACATATAACAGCATCTGCACATACAAAAATAAAAGAAATACACACTGAATACACGGCTAGTTACTAGCGGAGTTTACAGCTAGCCACGCTAGACTCAGAGTGTATGAAATCGTGGTCATAATGAAAGCATTAATAAACTTTCTCTAAGTTGCTGAAATTGCACCTGAATCTTAACAATACATGTAAAATAATATAACACAGATCATATGTCGAAGTTTTCAACTTTAAACGGCATTTTACAGTTATATCATTAAAACAAAGTGAGAGTGCTTTATACAGTGAACCTACCCGATGTAAAGCATCCCGCTTCTGATCGGGTATGGCAACAACACAAGGACAAAACGCAGCAGAGCTGCAGTACACCGTTTCTCCAAAGGAGGGCTCCAAAACACCAAACTCAATACAGCTGCTTAATTATGGTGAAAATCACATACAAACACTAACTGACATTTCTAACTCTGTTACACCCACCTCCCCTGAATTTCACCAAATTTGAGCGGCAATACTTTAAGTACATTACTTTCTAACACTAGACAGAGGGTCACCAATTACAGGACAGCCAACCCAAAGGTATCCAATAAGGATGAAGTGGAAGAAGAGGTGCGCAAACTCTCCAACCAACCACTGGCAGTAGGGTGCCTTATACACCCCACAAGACCCACGTATACTGTGTACTAAAGCCACTAAGAAAAGTAAGGAAAACAAAAACAGATAAACATTTCTTTTAATAAAGCTCACCAGAAAAGCTTGGACCATATAACCAATGTTACCAAACGTGTGTATGACCTCAACTCTAAGTCTAGTCATGAAAAACCTAAAACACTGACTTCCAGATAGCCGTCATAGACGGATGTGCGTGAATAATATCTTGCCTTGACATAGTTTGAATTAGTCTGTCAACTGGCTTAAGAATGCGACCAAATCTAGACCTCACCTGTGTGAACGTACTAGGATTTTCAGACTGTGAAACAGAAGCTACTGTGTCAACACTATCCATGTCATTAGCTTTGTCTATCTGTGTTACAACAGTCTGTCCATCCATGTTGCTGGCAACAACTGTACTACCGTCAGTGCTTGTCACAGGTGAAGAGTCAGAGGCCATGAACTGGTCTCCTATCTTGTCCTCAGATATTACCGGGTCACTTTGAGAGACAAGAGGAACTGATTCTATTCCTCCATTATCAGCTGACTCAGCTTGCGGGGTATCAGGGAATGGTGATAGTGCAATCCACTCTACAGTTCGTCCCTCAGAATCCACTTGCCCTGGAACAGTTATGGAATCAGATTCAACTCTCCCTCCCTCTGTTCGTCCCATCCGTTCTCCCTGAATTCCCGGGCTAGAAATTAGATCATCACAGTCCTCACTCATGTCGTCACGCAAATGACTTTGTCTCACTATTGACACTGAGTCCTCACTTGGGTTTGACTGCTGAACAGAAGACAAAGATGAGACTGGGTCATAGATCACACTTGTGTTTTCCACAGGCAGGAAATTCACCAACATCAACAGATTACGGTGTACGACTTTCTCCCGTCCAGAGACTGTGTCACATATCCTGTAAGTGTGTGTTTCGGTGTTCCTGTCTACTACAGTGTACACAGTGGATTCCCAACGATCTGCAGTCTTCCTCTTTCCTCTTTCCTTTTTGTTAGCCATTAATACACGGTCACCAACTTCAATGGTAGGGCCCTTGACTCTCCTGTTGTAGATCTCAGTGTGACGGTGCTGTTCTTTCATGACATGTTCCTGAGCTATTAACATAGCATCTTGTAGATCTTTCGTCAGAGATGCAACATACTTGTCATAGCTGACCACAGCTGGATCATTCAGAACAGTACGGAAAAGGACATCGACTGGCAGACGAGGAGTCCGTCCAAACATCAAATAAAAAGGCGCATATCCTGTTGTCTCATGAACTGAGCTGTTGTACATGAATGTGAGGGTCTGAAGACGTCTTGGCCAATTAGCTTTTGTGTCTGGAGCAAGTGCACGGATCATATTGCCAAGGGTCCTATTAAAACGTTCCACGCTCCCGTTATCCATAGGGTGATACGGTGTGGTGTGTGATTTCCTAATACCAGAGACTCTAAGTAGCTCGCTGATCAGTTGACTCTCAAAACTAGCTCCTTGGTCACTGTGGATACGTTCTGGAAACCCAAATACACAGAAGAACTTGTCCCAGAGGACTCTCGCCACCTGCTTTGCTGATTGATCCTTGCAGGGGAATGCCTGGGCCATCCTTGTAAAGTGGTCAGTCACCACCAGCACGTCGACCGAATTATTCCGTGCATCCTCTGCTGACCAAAAGTCAATACAAACAAGCTGTAGAGGCCTGGTGGATGTGATGCTTTCCAAGGGTGCCCTGCCAGCAGGTTCGGCTGTCTTGCCGACGATGCAACGCCTGCAGTTGCGGACATAATCCCTCACGTCCCTGTCAAGACTAAGCCAAAAGAACCTCTGCCTAGCCAGCCCAAGACTTCTGAACTGACCCTGGTGACCAGCATCGTCATGAATACCTCTCAGGACAACAGCTTTAAGTGACTCAGGGACTACATACTGGTGACGCTTTGACTTTGTGGTCTGGTCTCTTGAAACTCTGTAGAGTATCCCATTGCTCACGATAAGCTTCTCCCAGTGCTTTAAATATCTCAAAACAGTGACTGATTCTTTCACTCGCTCTCTCCTGGATGGTCTGCGATGTCTTTCCACATAATACAAGACTCGAAGAAGGGCTCCGTCAGCGAGCTGTTCATCACGAAGTTCCTTCTCTGTGTAAGCAGGCAGTGAATCCTGACCATCAGGGACAAACTGTGGCACGTGGTGCAGAGCGGCAACAGCACGGGTTCTTGCTCCAGTCTCCCACTCACTGTGTGACTGCAGGACAGCAGATATATCATCCATCCCAATGGACTGAGTGTGAACACATAAAGGAGCAGACATACTCCCAACACGATCATCACCTTGCCGTAGATTCCCATCATAGGCACTGGAGTAGCGAAAGGTGTCTTGAACAGAGTCGCACGTCAAACCTTGGACCTCAGAGAGAAGTGTGGTGTAAGGCTCCTGAAGCAATCTAAGACTGACTCTCTCTTTCACAAAAGGCACACGGCTTAGGGCATCGGCAACAACATTCTGTGGACCTGGAACATACTTTATATCAAAGCTGTAGCTGGCTAGCTTGGCCACCCAACGTTGCTCACAGCAATCCAACTTGGGCTTTGTCATAATGTGGGTCAATGGATTGTTGTCTGTCCACACCGTGAACACATGACCCTTCAACCAGTGGCTGAACTTGTCACAGATGGCCCACTTCAATGCCAAGAATTCTAACCGGTGTGCTGGGTAATTCTTCTGAGACAGAGAAAGTGATTTGCTGGCAAATGCGATGGGCCTTGCCCTTGTTTCTCCCTCCTTGATCTGCGATAAAATGGCACCAATACCGTCAAGAGAAGCATCCACAGACAGCATAAAAGGACGGGTGAAATCTGGGTGAGCAAGGACAACTGTTTCGGCCAGTGACAATTTCAGTTTCTGGAAGGCTTGCTCCATGTCAGGGGTCCAGTCAGCAGTACTCAACTTCCTGCTCTGAGACCTGTGTTTACTCATTAGCTTCTGCTTACTTTTTCGTTTCTGGCCTGACAACAGAGAAAAGAGTGGCATAGCGATAGCTGAGTAATTGGGTACAAAGTGTTGGTAGTAATTGATCATACCCAAGAAGGACCTAACCCGTTTCGCTGAGGGAGTCACACCGTCTAATTCCATGAGGTCAGCACTTGTCATTTTCATGATGCCCTCAACCTTGCTGGGATCAGTCGACACACCAGCTTCATCGACTATGTGCCCAAGGAACTTCACAGCCTTTCGAAGGAAAAAGCACTTTTTGGGGGCTAACTTCAGGTTGTGGCTACGTAATCTGCTAAACACCACCTCCAAACGTTGTAGAGCAGTCTCTTCATCAGGAGCAAAGACAAGCAAATCATCTAAGTAGCAAAGCAAACTCAGATAGTTCTGATCTCCAAAAATGCTAGTCATCATACGCATAAAACTTCCAGGGCTATTGCAGAGACCTTGTGGCAAACGATTGTACTCGTATAAACCCATTGGAGTGGTGAAGGCAGAGTACTTTTTGTCATCTTCGTGCAATGGCATGTTATAGAACCCGGAAGTCAAATCCATGGTACTAAAAAGAGCGTTTCCTCCAAGTGCTGCTAGGCAGTCGGCCTGGTGAGGGAGAGGGTGAGCATCTTTAAAAGTTCGCTTGTTCAGCCAGCGAAAATCCGTACAGATTCGGAGATCCCCATTCTTTTTCCAAACGAGAACTAATGGAGACTCATATTCACTGGTGGACTTCCTAATGATTTCCCTCTCTTCCATCTCACTCAGCACTTGGCGCAGCTTCTGATATTGACTTGGGGGCACCCGCCTGAAAGGGAGTCGGAATGGCCTGTGATCGGAGAGGTGAATGCGATGGACAAAATATTTTGCCTCTCCACAGTCCAGATGATGACGTGAGAAGATATCATTGTAGCGCACAACCAGTTCAGTCAGCTTGCTTTTGCACTGCTCGGACACTTCACAGCCGTTTATGTCAATCTCACTCAATCCAGCTGCCTTGAGTTTGTCGTCAACAGAACATGCTTTATTCTCAGATCTACTAGCTGCTAAAGAACACCTGGCCATTGAAACCCCAGTGTGTGTGTCATCCATATCTTCAAGGGCAATGCAGGGAAAAACGTCAGCTAACTTAGCATTGCGTCTCACCAAGACGGGTTTATCAGAGGTGTTGATCAGCTTTAACGGAACCCATCTGTCTCCCCACAAAGACGTCACCATTCTTGCCACCAGAATTCCCCTTGGAGCTGAGCGGCATGATGTGAGTTCAGCCATCACAGTGCTACCAGGAGATACAGCAGCCGACTTGGGTAGCTTTCCCCACATCAAGTACTCACGACCAGGTTCAAGACACACTGCCGAGTTGCTTCTCACAGTGCCTATCTTGGAGGGGACTTCCTCACCTCTCCAACGGTCCACACCAGCAAGCATGGAGAGAAACTGTTCAGATTCTGGATCACCAGCAGGACAAGGGGCAGACACAGCTTTCCAATAGACATCACACTGCTTATACTGATGAAGAACATGCTTGATTACATTGGTACCTAATATCATTTCATCATGCTGGCCCTGGACAACTAGAGTAGGAACTATGATCTTGCAGCCATACACCTCCATCCGAAGATCAACAGCTGACTTTGGCATGACGCGACGGCCACCACAGCCAATGAGGACAACATCCGTACTGTACTGATCATGTGCTGTCAAAGCTCCAGCTTCTCTAAGCTTCATCTCAGCAGTTTCACTTATGGTACAAGCCATAGAGCCACTGTCTAGCATAGCGTTCAGGGTCACTGTATTATCAATCATCACAGGAGTATAAAAAAGACTGTCACTGCCGACAACTTTGTGTATGTTCTGAAAGACAACAGTTTGAGTGTCATTACAAGCCACCTTGTTCATCATGTAAACGGTTTCTGCATTTGAAATATTTTCACTTCGGGAGTTAAAATTATGACCCATACTGTCTCCCTCTGAATATGAGTCTACTAGTTTCCCTTAGACTGAGGCTCAGGGGAAGACCTGGTGGGGCATCCCACCCGTGTGTGGCCTGGGGCAAGGCAAGTGAAACACAGCTTCTCTGACATGCAATGGGTGATGGTGGTGTGCTTGCTGTCACCACAGACACGACAAGCTCTCTCTCGATTACCACCCTGGAATCTTCCGCCACGAACACTGCTGCGCTGCTGCACTTTCCCCATCATCTGCTCTAACATGGCCATCATACGAGACATAATTCTATCCTCAGTGTCTTGACTATTCTGTAATACAGCTGGCGTAGAGGCACATGAGCGGGGGCATGGAGTCTGATGTGAGGTGCAGCTCTGACTTGAAACTGTGACAGAAGAGGGACACTGCTGGTGACACATTGGACTAGGTACTGGAGCAGTAGTGATGGTAGTGCACTGAGCGTGACGCTGCTCAGGCACAGGCTGAATGTAAGTCGCTGGGTTAGGCTGCATGTTGGCAAGGGTGGCGGTGTGGCTCTTTACCCGCACATCTGCACAGGCCCTTCCAGAGGCCCTTAGCTCTCTCTGATAGTCATCAATTCTCAACTGTATGTCACGTGCACTCCACTCATGGATGGGCTTACACTTAAAGATGGAGGAGAGTTCTGGGTCGGGACAATGCTTGACAAACATACGCGTCACCTCATCACCGGAATCCTCCATCCGCCTGCCTTGACTGCGGAGGCCTTCATCAGCCAGATCAGCTGCTCTGTTTACTCTCAACCAGTAATCAACTGGGCTTTCGCCAGGTCTGGGCAGAGTGGAGTAAAAATCTGCAAGTGGGGGACATGAGGACACATCACTGAAATACTGGAGGAGAATATCATAAATGAGGCCAGGGTTCTGTTTCACGTCGAGAGTCTGATCACTGCGCAGGGCAACCTTCACCACATCTCTTGCTTTGCCCATCAACTTCCCCATAATCTCTTCTGCCTGCTCATCCACAGGGCACCGTTGCTTTCTCAGATAAGCTTTAGTTATGTCAATCCAGTCCTGGACTGGATATTTGTCAGAACCGTCACCTCTGAACAACTTAGGCTCTTTGTCTGATTTTACATGTACAGTAACTGGTGAGTCTGTCTTTCTCACAGTGCTAGAGTCAGTTCCTGTACAAGTAGGTGATGTGTTCTGCATGTGTACGATGTGATGTTTAGGGGATGGGCCGCCCTGCTGTTCACTGCTGTTATTCACTATGCCAGCAGACATTAACTTGGCTACAATAGACTCACCAATCTGGGCACCTAACTGTCCCACCATGCTTGTGAGGTGATTAATAGCAGCAGAATCAATACTGCTGGGTGTGGATGTGAGAGGACCCTCCCCCAAAGAC